TTCCCCCCACCCCCATCTCTCTCTCTCTTTCTATAAAAATTTAATTTTTCATTTTCCAAAAAAAAAAAAAAAAGAAAAAAAAAATTAATTAATAAAATTTCTCCAGAATTTTTCCTACAGCTTTTTATCTCACACTCCCCATAAATATAAATATAAACACCAAAACGTACCGTACCAACTACGAACGTACCTGAAATAAAACTCAGGTACGATAAAATAAAACAAACGATTACGTCATCGATCGGAAAAATTCCTTCCTCCATTTCCCCTTCCCCTTCCCTCCCCTCCTCATTCACAATTCTCGTAATTATTAATCATTTCATTTTCTTCTACTCCCTACGAGAAGGGGAAGGAGGGGGGAGAGAGAGAGAGAAAGGATGGAAACAACATTGCTACCAACTTACCAACGTAAAAAAAAAAAAAAAACTATCTGCAGTGAAAAAATTACTTTAAATATTCATGACATGGGATAAGAGAAAAAAAATGCAATTTAAAAAAACCTTATACGCTCATGTTTATCTTACCCCTTCGCCCGTCTTCTTTTCTTTTCTTCCTTTAAAGAAAAGTAATCTGACAATTTGTTTTCTTCTTTTTTTTCTTTTTTTCTTTTTCTTCTTCTTTCTCTTTCCCTTTTCCATTCACGCATTATTTTCATCTTCCTTTTTCTTTTTCTCTAAACCATTTCAATTCCATCTTCTTTCGGCCTAAAATAAAAAAAAAAAAAAAAAAAAAAAAAAAGAAAATATTAGCCATTATATAAATATTATATTAAAAATGTTGAACAACAATGGTTTCTTTCTTTTTATTTATTTATTCTTTTTTTCCTTTTTTTTACGGTTACAACAACAACAAAAACAAGAATAAAAATAAAAACGTATGAAATGATGAAGTTAAAAAAAGACAAAGATACGAAAAGGGGAGAAAGATAGAAAGAGAGAGAGAGAGAGAAGGGGGTAGAGAAAATATACGGCAACGTTTTTTTTTTTTTATAAAAATTCGAGAACAAAAGAAAGCTCTTAAGGGAAAAATGATGCAACTTTTGATTAATGGCACAAAGTTTTGGGACTAAAAAAAAAAAAAAAAGACAATATTTTGTTTTATTCACACAGTTCAGGTGTGAGTTTACTACATAAAAAAAAAAAAAACTATCATTCGAATTTTTTTTTCTTCGTTTTTTTCCCCTCCATTTTGTAAAATTCAAAATCGATTTTTTCTTTTTTTTATGAATTCCTTCCGTTTCCTTTAATAAAAAAAGGAAAAAATTTAAACTAGAGCAAAACATTCACTCTTTTCATTCACTTTCCTCCTAAATTTCCCATTCACGTTATTATTATTATTATTTATTATTTATTTACCTATTTTTTTTTCTTTTTCTTCTGCTTCTTATCTCCGAAAAGCAAATTTAGGTTATTACGAAAAAAAACTAGAGATAAAAAGAAAAAGAAAGAGAGAGAGAGAGAAAAACCACATAAACGATTTTTTCCTTTTCGAGAGAAGAGGAGGGAAAAAAAACGGAAAATGTTTACCACGCTAAAAATAAGTCATATCGATAATGTAGGAGGGGGGAGAGGAAGAGTGAGGGGGGAGAAGAGAGAGAGAGAGAAACGATGAATGGAAAAGAAAAAATAGAAATTCCATCGAAAACATATACGTTCCGAAACGGCTACGAAAGTTTTCCGAAAAATTTTCCAACAGGAGCAGAAAGAAAGAAAAAAAAAAGATGGAGGAAGAGTGTAAATTGTGAATTAAATTTAAAAAAAGAAAAAAGAAAAAAAAAAAACCACCTGAGCTTTTCCCCTCTTCCTCCTCCTCCTCCTCCTCCTCTTTCCCCTTCCTCTTTCTCACTGAATTTATTTATCTTTTGTCCTATTTCTATTTTCGCGTAAAACTTTACAGACTTGAAACCAAAACGAACGAATAAGACAGAAAGAACGAGAAAGAAAGAAAAAGAAGACAGAAATAAAGAGAGAGAGAGAGAATAAATAAAACAAAAATAAAAAAAAAATGAAAAAGAAAAAAAGAAAAGAAAAAAAACGTGGAGGAAAAAAGCAGACGATTTATTATTTAAAAAAAAAAAAATTAAAAACAAAAACAAAACTCCCCGCCGCCGCTGCCACTACCACCCCGCAAACCTTTTTTTTTTAAAAAATTCTTTCTTTAAAATTTGTCACACCGCAAATATGTATAAAAGCAAATTCGTTTTTTTTTTTTTTTACCCGGAAATTTTCCTGCGGTTTTCACAAGGAAAAAAACATTTTCTTTTTTCTTTTTTTTTCGCTTTCTCTCTCTTTCTTTTCTCTTTCTAATTTTTCCATAACTTATAAATTCCGCCATAATTTTCCTACCCAACCAACAATCTATATTAATTTGAACACTTCCGGATTATTTATTAACGGGTAAAGTGGTGATGATGATGATGATGATGATGATAATAATAAAAAAAAGGTAGCCAACTTTGAAAAAGAAAAAAATCGATTAACTTTTTTTTAAAAAAATGTTTTCCGTTTAC